GTCACCAAAACCCAGGTGCGTCTGGTGGCGGGACCCCCGGGGTGGACCTCCCAGTGGGGGAAGCCGGTGGGACCCCTGCCTGTGGGGTCTGTCGTACTAAGGTCTAAACGCTGACCATTTTTAGTTTGGTAAAGGGGAAAAAATGCTTCGTATTATGATTAGGCATAGTTTTTACAAATGTTGGGGGTCAGCAAAGAGGATAATGACCAGGTAACGCTGGAGTGCGGTGCTCTGGTGTCCAGAGCTGGAACCCTGTGAAGGGAGCCTGCAAAGACTTAAGACATTTATTTAACTTTGACTTTTTCAGTAATATTAGTGCTTATTTTGGTTATTTTTCTCCCTAACTTTTTGTGACCTTTGGGGACATAAAGTGTTTTAGAAATTAACCTGCAAAAAAATGAAAGGTGTAACTAGCTTAAGTGAGAGGGTTTTTTTTAAAACAAAATATGCTTTACCTTTAAAACATTTGTAGGTTGCAATAAAAATAATTGACAAAACACGATTAGATTCAAGCAATTTGGAGAAGATATATCGTGAGGTTCAGATCATGAAGCTTCTGAATCACCCTCACATCATAAAGCTTTATCAGGTAAGGATCAACTTTGCCTTCCACTGTTACTTCTGGCCAGTGTATCATTTCTTAATTTTCAGCAGCTTAAGTCTACAGTTGCTGAGGTTGTCTCACTCTTTGGGTGTACATGAGAGTCAGGGGGTTAATTGTATCTGGTAAAGAGACTGATTTTTGTGAGCTGTGCAATTATCTTCTTGCTTTTGGATCATAATCTAGATTTGCTTCATTAAATTTTTATTTAGTATTATTACTCGTTCCAGCTTTGAATGCGTGGAGGTCAATTGTTAAATTTACTATGAAAACAAACAACCAAATCTCTGTGTTGCCATAGGTCAACCATCTAGTGTGGAAGGACGAATTTGAGTGAAAGTAGATATTTCCGCCTTTGCAGATAATTATTGAACTTTAAAACCAGCTGCTCTTACCAGTTTTCATAAACTTATCTTTGCAAGGGCAGCAGTGTGCTTTTGTCTGTCCTGTTTCAACTCTTCTGTCAGAAATGGAGAGATGAAATACCTGTGTCGTGGGAGAGCAAGGAACTTGCCACCTAACCACGTTAAGAACGTGCCTCACCCCGCCCAACTGTTGGTTTGCTTTGTGACTTAATTTTTATTCCCTTGTTGAAACTAATGAATTGTATCTTTGGAAGCTAAGTGCTGATTTAATTAGGACAGCACAACAGCCTTTTACTTCACTGACCACTTCTGCAGAATGAACAGGTCTACTTGCAGGAGAGTAAGTTCTTTGCAAATGCCTAGCGTTTCTTCCGGTTGCTGGGTACCGTTTCCTCACGAGGCCCTGTGGCTCCCAGATGCGTGTGGGAGGGGGTGGGGGCGCAAGGCGAGGTGCACAGGGTGGTAGCAGAGAGGAGTGTCCCCCGTAATTCCCGCGTGGAGGCAGGGCTCTTGCTCTCAGCTGCAGTGAAGGCAGGAGTCTTCCCGGGGCTTGTGCTCCCTGGACGACAGTTTACTCGGCGTCAGTAAGCGCAGGGCTCACATCACGTGCGGGCCAGCTCGTGTTTGGTTTCTGTTGTCATTTCTGAGTGAGTCCTAAGGCCGAGATAAGATGTTTCCTCCACGGTCTCTGATGTCAGTGCCGGAGAAATGTGCCTGGCCCGTTTCCGCAGCAGTGGGCCGGGTCCTGTCTCTGACTTTGCTGGGGGCGTGGGGGGCCGGGAATGAGCCCGCGCCTTCCCGCCCTTCCTGTCCCCTGCTGGCCCAGGGCAGGAGCAGCCTAGCCAGCCAGATGCCATGGGATCAGTGTTAAAGGTCCTTCTGGGGGTGGATTTCTCCTTGCTCCGTGAGCTGCTTTGACTGTGTGGGGACAGGGTTCAGTTGGTACAGCAGCGATTGTCATGGCTCCGGTTTTGACACGCGCGTCTGATGCTCACCCAGCTGGCCCGGGCCCCAGAACCTCAGTGCGGCGCTTCATCTCTTCCCTTGGAGTGTTTTTTTTCCCTGAAACTTAAAACAAAACTTAAAACACGTTGACTCCTAATTCTCTCTCCATCTCTTTTTTACATCAAACAAAGGGATAAACTTACGCGTCTCTCTGCCACACACGTTGAGAGCAGGGACAGTGAAGACTGCCGCTAAACTGCCTGGTGGTCACTCTTATTGTTGGATTTATGGCTCAAAGCAGTTGTCTTTCAAGCGCCTTTTTAAAGGAATAACTGTATTTTGAATCCTGAAGATCTTTTTCTGTAGGGATGTATTCTGTCTGTCTCCCTGTGAAATATTTAAAAATACACAGACGTGTGTTTGTTTTACTCCTTTCAGTGCCGAAGATTTGAATTTGACCTTGTTTCTTAATTAGTTATGTTCTAAACTGTTACAAAAAATTCTTTTTTTTCTCACTGTGAAATCAAATTCTCTATCCATGAATGAACCTTTAAGGGGTATTTGACATTGGCATTGCTGTCGACCCAGCCGCAGAGTCTGCTGGACAAAGAGCAGTGTTTCGTAGCTTACCTGGCAGAGCCGGCTTCCCACAGCCTAATGGATCAGGTCAATAACGCAGAGGGAAGGCGAATTTGTTATCTATTATTCAGCGCGTGTTGGCCGTTGGCTTGAACGCTTTGCTCCCTGCCAGGCTTCTAGAAAAAAGCCCTCGCCAAACTCCCATGATCTGTTTTACTTCTGTAGCCATCACAGTCTTCACTTGCGGGTGAGGCAAAGTGAGGTATTAAAAATACAACATAGGAAATAAAAAGTCATCACCTTTAAAAACAAAGATACGGGCGAGCTCCAGGACATGTAGACATTTTTGAGAGCAGAGGTTTAGCAGGATGCACAGGTTAGAGAGGAACTCACCTCTGATTTTCAAAATGGTTTTTTTCTGAATAGGAATCCCCTTTGTTCCTTTATCGCTGAAGTTTTTCTTTCCTTTCCTTTTTGAAAATAACAAACGGGCTCGCTCTGGAGAAGTTAACAGTGTCCGGGATTCAGGTAGATTAGTTATGTCATCAGTGTTTTTCCTTTTTATGTGGTTAAATGTGAGGTCCTTTTTTTTTAGGTTATGGAAACGAAGGACATGCTTTACATTGTCACTGAATTCGCAAAAAACGGAGAAATGTTTGGTAAGCCGCGCTGGGTTTGAATGTCTGTTGAAGTGTTTGGTGTCTGGGCTGCCTCGCCCAGAACTGCCCCGCTGCGTTGGGGCCTCCCTGCGCCCGCGGCCGCGCCCCCGGCCATAGCCAGGCTTTTGGGTTTGGGGGCTGCAGCTTCGCTTTGTGCCCTCAGATTACTTGACGTCCAACGGGCACCTGAGCGAGAGTGAGGCCCGGAAGAAGTTCTGGCAGGTGCTGTCGGCCGTGGAGCACTGCCACAGCCTCCACATCGTGCACCGGGACCTCAAGACCGAGAACCTGCTGCTGGATGGCAACATGGACGTCAAGCTGGCAGGTCAGGCGCTGCCCGCTGCGGGCCGGGGAGTGCGGGGAGGGCGGCCCATGCGCTTGCTTCTTTCTGGCTCAGTCCTCTGAAACTGCTGTGGCCCTGCCGTTCGCACCTCACCGCCTGTCTCGTTGTCTCTCAGATTTCGGATTTGGGAATTTCTACAAGTCAGGAGAGCCTCTGTCCACGTGGTGTGGGAGCCCCCCGTACGCAGCCCCGGAGGTCTTCGAGGGCAAGGAGTATGAAGGCCCCCAGCTCGATGTCTGGGTAGGAGCCCGGCCGCGCAGGGGGGAGGGTGCGGGGCCGGCACGGGGGCGCGGGCGCTGAGTGCCCTCTGTCCTCTGCAGAGCCTGGGTGTCGTCCTGTATGTCCTAGTCTGCGGGTCTCTCCCCTTTGACGGGCCCAACCTGCCGGCGTTGCGGCAGCGGGTCCTGGAGGGCCGGTTCCGCATCCCCTTCTTCATGTCCCGAGGTAGGTGAGCGCCCAGCCTTCTTTTGGCAGGCGCGGCCGCCAGGCCGCGGCGGGGCGTTGGGTAACCTGGATGGCAGTCTGTGGGGAGGAGGAGGAATGTGTTTCCTGAAGTGCCTGCTTGACCGTCTTCTGAGTCTGCTGTCAGCCCGGGAGCCCGCCCTGCGTTTCCATGGGGTGTTTACTTGCTGCCTGGGAGAGAACCCAACCCGCTGGCTGCTTTCTTGGGGCTCTGCCTGTAGGGCGGCCGCTGTCCCCGGAGCCAGCTGTTAGCTCCGTCTCCGAGGTCCCCGCCCAGACTAGCACTCGGCACAGCCTCATCCTTTGGGTCTCGCCTTCTGCACTCCAGTGCTTTCCTCTTCCACTCTGAGAGGTGTTTGACTGCTGCTCGCTGACACTCACGGTCACAGCAGGATGGGGTTCCAGGTGGTTCTGTCTGGTGGCTGTTAGAAGGACTGTGTCCCTCAGGGACCCGATCCCTCAGTTGGTGGCTCTCCATGGCCGCAGATCTGAGCTGACCACACGGGCCACTGCTCCTGGCCTCAGTGTTCTCTAGGACAGTCACTTGTCCACTCGCTGTGTGCAGGGGAGCTGGGTGGGTGTCGGGAGTGTATGTGCAGTCGGCCTGCACAGGACTCAGGGCACCTCCCTTACCCCCCAGACTGTGAGACACTGATCCGCCGCATGCTGGTGGTGGACCCCGCCAAGCGCATCACCATCGCGCAGATCCGGCAGCACAGGTGGATGCAGGCCGAGCCTTCGCTGCTGCAGCAGACCTGCCTCGCCTTCTCCTTGCTCAGCTACAGCTCCAGCCTGGGCGACTACGACGAGCAGGCGCTGGGCATCATGCAGACCCTTGGCGTCGACCGGCAGAGGACCGTGGAGGTGAGCGCTGCACGCCCGCAGACCCTTGGCGTCGACCGGCAGAGGACCGTGGAGGTGAGCGCTGCAGCCCCTCCGTGGGGGGAGGCGCCCCTTCCCAGGGGTGGCTGGCCGGGGAAAGCAGGCACCCGCCAGGCGGGTTGAAACGGGAGCACGGCTAATTTAAGGGCAGCTCGTTCACGCTGGAGGGTATTCTCGGCCACCCCGGAATAACCCCGGGGACGGTCTCGTCAGGGAGCCCGCCTGTCCTCTGCCAGCCCCACTCTGACCCAGGTCTCTGCCCGCAGTCACTGCAGAACAGCAGCTACAACCACTTTGCTGCCATTTATTACCTCCTGCTCGAGCGGCTGAAGGAGTACCGGCTTGCCCCGCCCGCCCGCTCCGGCCCTGCCCGGCAGCACAGGCCCCGGAGCACGGACCTCAGCAGTTTTGAGGTGAGGGAGGGGCGTCTTCTATACCCCACCCCCGTCCCTCCACCCCATCCCTGCCTTGGACCGTGCCCCTGAATTAGGACTCCTCTGTTCAGACACACCTGGGAGGGAATGTGGGCTGAGCCACCTGTTAGGCACTAGGGGGGCGTTGGGGTGGTCCTGGGTGAGCTGCAGTCCAGGGGCTGCAGGTAAAGACAGGCTGCTGGCCACTCTGCTGGGTGTCACCTGGCGCCCCCTTGTTCCTTAACTGCTCCTGGTGCAGCCTCTCAGCCCCTCCCAGTCACCTGTGCAGCCAGGTGTCAGAGACGAGTCCTGAGCCGCCCGCTGGTGGCCGATGTCTCTAAGCCAGCAGGTCTCGCTCGTGAAGCTGCTTGTGTTGTTCCCTGAGCTGCCTCCCTCATGGCCTCTGTCTTCTCTGCTGGCCCCCAGCTGCCTCAAGATGGCTTCCCCGGGGATGCGTTCCGCTCCTCCCTGCTGTGCCCCCAGCCCCAGGCCTTGGGACAGTCCGTCCTGCAGGCCGAAATGGACTGTGACCTCCACAGCTCACTGCAGGTGCGTCTGGGGTGGGGCTTGTCCGGTTCCAGTGGTGGCAGTGTCCGCACCCCTGCCCACGTGGGGTCTCATGGAGCACCCGGGGTCATTGGTCTGTCTGTCCCTTGCAGCCCTTGCTCTTCCCCATGGATGCCAACTGCAACGGGGTGTTCCGGCATCGCTCAGTCTCCCCGAGCAGCCTGCTGGACACAACCATCAGTGAGGAGGTCAGGCAGGGCCAGGGCCTGGAGGAGGAGCAGGAGGCACAGAAACCCCCTCCCAGCAGCACAGGCCGGAGGCACACGCTGGCCGAGGTCTCCGCCTGCTTCTCCCCTTGTGCCCCTCCATGTAAGTGTCCCCGTTGGCTGGGAGCATGGCCTGGTGGGCGGGCTGAGGGTCGGGGCTGTGATGGGCAGCCTCTCCGGATGACAATTCTCTGAATTTTCTGTGTATGGAATGCTCGAGGCCATGTGGACCACACTTAGATGTCACAGGTGATCCTTCAGTGGTGGGGACAGCCTGGGGTTTAGCTGCCCTCAGGTGCCAGGAGGGCAGGTCCTCAGCCCAGATCCCTCTGTCCCGGGTCCAGGTTCTACCAGTCAGCTGCAGCTAAGCCCCTGTGGGTGGAGGTGGGCAGGGCACAGTTGTCTATCCCTGTCAGCAGACCTCGGGCCACCTGAGGGTCTCGGAGACGCCGTGGTGGGCTCAGAGGAGGGCTCAGAGCTGGCTTCCAGAGCCTTGGGCGTGGACTCGCAGTGAGCTGTCGGGGGCTGGTGGGTGCGTCTGGCTTTGGGGAGGAGGGCCTCACGGCGCCGTGCTCCTTCTGCAGGCATAGTTGTCTCTCCCTCCGCGGCCAGTCCCTCGGAAGGCACCAGCTCCGACAGCTGTCTCAGCTCAGCAGGTGACAGCCCGGTGGGGCTCAGTGGACACCTGGCTGCTCAGGGGCTGGTGGGCACCTGCTCGCCGCTCAGACTGGCCTCACCGCTCCTGGGGGCCCAGTCCGCCACCCCCGTGCTGCAGGCCCAGGGGGTGCTGGGAGGAGCCGCCCTGCTTCCCGTCAGCTTCCAGGAGGGCCGGAGAGCGTCGGACACCTCGCTCACTCAAGGTGACTTCCCCTTTCACACCCGCTTCCACCTTCCCTGGGAGGTGCTGTGAGTGCCCCGAGCAGCATTGCTTTATCCTTGGTGGCAGGCGGCGTCATCCTCCTCTGGCTGGGCCTGGGGGAAGTGGCAGTGCCGGAGGTGCTGCTCGAGTTCCAGGCGTCCTGGCTTCTGGGACGAGCTCGTGGCCTCCTGCAGCTGGCCCTGAACGCCCAGGAGCTGCGGGGCTGTGGGGCAGCGGCTCCCGCCCCGGAGGAGGGGCAGGCCGGGGAGGCGCACGCAGAGGCAGCCCGCAGCTGGCTGCCTGGGTGCTCTTGGTGCTTCCTGGGCTTGTGCGGCCCCCGGGCCCTCCTGAGTCCCTCCTTCTGTGACGGAGCCACAGTCTGCCCAGACGTTTGCTTCCTCAGGGGTGGAGCTGCTGCTCCAAACCAGCCCGGGCACAGGGCTGCTGCGAGGGGGCGGACGACCAGAGGGCGCCTCTGCCCCGTAGTGAAGCTTGCTGCCCTCGCCCCACCACGTTCACACCGCTTGGCCCCCCAGCTCCT